CTACTCCAGTCCTCTACTGTCTTCTCCTCTCTTCTACTCCTCTTATCTCCATCTCATCATCGACTCTCCTGATATCAACTTCATCTTCTTCTACTTCTTCTTCTCTTCTACTTCTTCTTCTTCTTCTCCTTAAAAGCTAATCTGGCTCAAGTCTTGGCATCGAGATCTGATGGATTTAAAGTAAAAAAGGGGTAAACAGACAGTGATAGACAGAAGACAGTGATAGAGAGTAATAAACAGAGTAATAGAAGAGAGTAATAGAGTAATAGAGTAGTAGACAGACAGTACATTAACACATATATAACATAATCCAGTAAGAGACAGTCGTCTAGTCGCAGCGTCATCCAACATACACCGTCGACGGCCGCTCGATGTACCGCCCGGCGCCATAGTACGACGACCCCCTGCGGCTGCGGCTGCTACGATAGCTGCCGCTGTGGCTGTAGCTGCGGCTCGGACGGCGGTGATGGTACGTCGTCGTCGTGGTCATCGTCGGCTCTCGCGGCGATACTCGCGTCGACACCACGGCGCAGCGCAGCAGCCAGAACAGGAGGACCACGCCCGCGACGCTGCCGAGCACGATGCCTGCGACGGCGCCGTTGCTGAGACAGTTGCATTGCGGGCTCACGGGGACGCTGGTGATGTAGTCGCGGGCCTGCAGGGGGCCGGGAGTGGGTGGGAGTTTCTAGACAGTCAGCACATACATACTTATACAGATATATATATATATATATATAGATAGATATAGATAGATAGAAACAGGGACAGGCATACCATTGTCGGCAAAGGTGGTAGATGGAGGGCGAGATGTCATGTCATGTCTGTCTGCGTGTCTGTTTTGTGTCTGTCTCTGTTTGTTTATCTACATCTAACGCGGCTAAATAAGACTGTTTACCAACTTCACCTGCCTTCCGAGGCTATGATGTCAGGAACTGGAGAAAGAGTGGACTGGGCAAACAGGTTTCCTGGTTCTGGGTTGGAGGCTGCTCCCAGGGTCAGTCGATAATGCCTAATAATCTAATAAACTACTCGAGGGGGACTCGTAATTCAAACGTTTTAATTTAACTGTAATCTGCCGACCAAACACCTTGCGCTAAACATGATCCATAGGAAAAGCAGTACTAGTAGAAGTAGTGTAGTAGTAGTAGTGTAGTAGTGGAATATACTCAGGCTAAGCGGCCTCCTGGTGGGTAGATAGGCGTTTTGCGCCTCGGGCTGAAGAGGCCGTAGGGGGCGGCGCATCAGAGGAACTTCCTACTCCCCCTCCGCCAGAAGACGATGGCTGCTGCTGCTGCTGCTGCTGCTGCTGAAGTCTCGCCATGAGGCCTCCATCGTCCCTGAACAGGCCCGAAGCCTGGCCCGTCGCAGAGGAAAAGGCACTCACATTCGAACTCCTCCGCCTCAGCCGCTTCGATGCATCGTCCTCCTCTTTCCGGTGCAGCGATTCAGACGGGAGCAGCACAGCCCGGTCAAGCGCATACGGCAGTCCACGGTGTCGTCCTCGGATCTCCATCGCAATAATCACCAGCTTGGAGAGCGTGTGGAACTGCGCTGAAAAACTCGTGTTGCTGTCTGGATAGCCTAGCGACAGGCCCACCGTACCGTACGCAGACACCACCTCAAACAGCACCGCAAACAGCGAGAAGCCCAGGTCCTTGGGGTTGTCCAGTCGAGTGCCCTCGATGATGCTGATCACAAACAGGCCCAGGAAGATGTACCAGATGTCGAAGCTGAGTTGGCGCTGCAAGTGAGCGCCCACGAAGCTGGGCTCCTTTTCGTTCTCGCTGTACTCGTCCGGGTCGGAGTAGATGCCCAAACTGCGCTCTTCGTACACGTTGGTGCGGCGGACCGAGATGGCGATCGGGAAGACGGAAATGTACATCATTATCATGTACGACACCTGGATCGCCGGGTGAAGCGTAGTAAGCCCAATTACCGATAGACCGGCCGTGCGAGTGGCTGCCGCTTGGAACAGCCCGTCCACGAACCGGATGCCGCCGGGGATGCGAGTCACGTCGGGGTCATTCAACTATACATACATATATTAGACTAGGCAGTAAAAGTAGTAGAAGTAGTAGAAGACTTACGTCGAGGACGACGAAGAAGATCAGGTCGACGCCGTTGAGCAGCACCAGCACCCAGAACAGCCACCAGTTCGCTGAACTAGGGAACAGCAGCGTGAAGCATCGTCGCGGATGGTCCAGCAGGAACTTCAGCTCCTCCCACACCCCGCTGCCCTTGGGAACAATCATGCTGAAAAACCAAATCACAAACCGAAGCATGCATGGGAAACCAGTGTTGCCGATCAGAATCAAAAACGTCATCAGCAGCATCGGGAAAACCGCATCGTAGAACGACAGCATCGAGTCCGGCGTGATCGTGAAGCCCTGGTCGTTGAACGCCGAACCCGCTGAAAACACCGCCCACCATGGCCGGCCCTGGCCAGCGGCACGCACGATCTCCCCCCAGTGAGTGTTCAGGATCCAGGGTATCAAGCACACGATTCCCAGCAGGTGGAAGAAGAAGAAGTAGCCTATCAGCACGATCGCCAGCGTCTTGAGTGCACGGTACTCGATCCCGCCCAGCTCCTCTCGCTGCGTCTCAGACAGGTCCACGAACGCAGAGTTGCGTCCTATCGTCGGCTCCCAGCTCAGGTAGGGAGCGTCCTGCTGCAGCTGCTCCAGCGTGCGAGACCGCATGAAGCTGGGCACCATGGACCGGCGGGACGTTACTCGTCGGATCGTCGACGTTTCGTCCCCATCTCGGTCTCGATCACGCTCGCCACCCCTTGAGTGCGTGGCTTTGCGCGTACGAGTAATGTTGGGCTCGTCAATGGTGATGTGCTGGTTGATCGGGCCAGGGGAAGTAGGCAGAGACGTTCCAGCCAGTTCGGCCGGCGGGTCTGACTGAACCGTTGCATTACGAGCAAGGTCTGCCCCATCTGTCTCGTCCAGCGCCTCGGGCATGCCACCTCGGTCGTACTCTCGTGGACTGGGTATGCGCAGCGCACCGGTCTGTCGTCTCTGGTGCTCCAGGAACGTGATGTGCCGTTCGTTGTCCGAAGGCGGTACAGACCACTGTATCCTGGCATCACCAGGGAAATGTGACGGTTCAAGCAGCGTCTCGTTCGTCTTGGAGGAAGTATTGCTCGTCGACTGTCCGGTCCCGTTGGCCGCTGTTGTCTCACCTTGCCCTTCTGCAGGCTGGATGGACGAGTCACTCTCCGAGGTCGTCTCCGGTTCCTTCTTGGGAGCATCCAGGAATCGTCCCTGTGCATGGCCGTCAGTGTTTCGAAGCACTACAATGTCACGTCCGCGCACTCCAGCTTCTGCTCGGTGTAGGTCGTTGTTATCGTCCGGCTCTCTCGTCGGAGCTCTCGACCGGGACCGTGATCTTCTCAGCGCCTTCGCTTCCCGGACAACGTGCTGGAACCGCTGCTCAAACCAGTACAGTCGCACAAACACGACCGCCGAGTGGATGACAATTGGGTTGGCTATCATAGACCCCATCCACAGCCACACCTGCTGGTACGTGTACAGCTTGTTCACGTCAATCGTGTTCAGCCCGCTCTGTGTTGCCGAGCCCGAGGCGAAAAAGAGCGCATCAACGTAGGACATGTTTCCCCCCGGGTATAAGATGATAGATCCCACGAGTGTCACACCGATGATCCAGGCATAATGCAGGCAGATGAAGTTGTAATGGAGGTCCTTCAGGACTGGCGTCTTTCTCTTGATGGCCCATAGCCTCTCGCGCGTCTCCAGACTCGGCTTCCACCGCTCAATCGCTGCCTTGACTGTGTCCATTCTCAAATCCAAGCTGTTTTGGGGGTATATATATAGAAAGTATAGATAGATATTTCACCAAAAATAAACAAAAAGGCCAATAAGTGATGTTGTATATACAATGTGCTGCCGGTTATCAATTCCAGGCAGACAGGTGAATTCGACGGAAAAAGGCCACTCAAGCCAGAGGTCGTGCGCCCATGGGGAAAAGTATCAAGTCGATAGATGTTTTGAATGCGGATGTTTCGATAAGGGGGAGGGAGGGTGAGGCGGGTGAGGCGTATCGAGGTCCCGGAACAGCAGGGTAGTCCCAAGTCCTGACACAGCCCTTTTTATATCACAGCATGCGAACGGGACAGGACAGGAGGACGAGCAGGAGGCAGAGATCAGTCTCTCTATGTTTTTTTCTTCCTTCGCCTTGGTCTATAAGTCTGATTGGAGAAGCGTTTCCGCGGCGGAGAGGACTGCTGAAAGGCGCGAGCTGGATGAGATTGGGATATGCATGCTGGGGGGGGATGACGCTCGAGAGTTAAGGGCCAAAAAACAAAGGATTCTCCGGATAGAAGAAAAGAGCTAGATATAAAAAAGGAAAACGGACGAGGGCAGTGACTACAGGATAGAAGAAAAAAAGAAAGCCACCCCTTGATCCCAAGATCTGAAGCCGGCCGCAGTGAAGAGAAGAGAAAAAAGGTCGAAGCTGAAGAAGTTGGAAAAGTCGCTTGGCGTGGGTGCAACGGCCGCGGGCGGTGGCAGTAGCTAGTGGGAAAAGTTAGCCCAGCGAAAGTGTTATTCCGGGTGACTTTCGGCAGGGTGGGGCGCGGTGGAAATAGATAGCGCGTGGCGTGGCGATAGCCGAGGGGGGCAAAAGAAGCTTCTTGCTATGGTTTCATCTTAATCTCGACGATATAGAAAAGCTTTCCAGGGGGTCGATTTGATAGACGGCAGGCTGCGAGATAGATCGATATCTCGACGACTATCGGTAAGACAGACACACCGCTCAACGAGGGCCAGGACAAGAGTCCCCCACCGCCCCCTGTACGCCGGTGCCATGTAACTGTGACCGGGCATCGCCGTCCCTGGCAAGTGATAGGTATAGACCACCTAGTGAACTCTCCGAGACTTTTTCGTTGGCCCGGTCAGGGAGCAGAAGGGAAGGAAGGCTGGCAGTTCTCCCTTCTGCCATGTTTCTCCCTTACCTTTCCAGTGTGACGTGCAGGTTTCGGCACCGGAAGCATCGTCCGCGTGTAACATTGCTTTCTCTGGCTGGTACATGCTTCCCCGTATATTAAAAGAAAAGAAAAAGCAGAAGGGAAGAAACCTCCTCTATATATCCCGATGAAGTAATTTGTTGGCTTGCCGTGCCCAATAGGAGAACTTTTGCATTCACCCCCGGACCCGCGTGTCTTGAGAAAAACGTGAAACCCTGCATCCTCAACCCAACCCATAACGCCTCTGACCATAGCCAGGGGAAGAAGCAAAAAATAAACTCCGACGCAGCGGGTAAACCAAGATGAGAGATCCTGGTCCTTAAAAATAGAGCTACACACACGTGGAGATTCGTTGGCTGTCAGACACCACCTCCCTTCAGATAGCTCCCAGCCAAGACAATTCGACGCCCTTATATCTGGAACCCACGGCCTCAGATTCCAAGCGGGCAGAAGGAAGAGAAAGCGGCCGTCAAGGTTCGGGCCGTAGGCTGTTGGGCACCGTAATAATAGTGAAGAAAAAAAAGTACTGTTTATCTCCTCGGATAGGATTGCTCCTTCGCTGGCCCATGGCACTCTGGCGCTTGTGACAAGTGGGGGTTCGCAGGAATATCGTGGGCAGGCAGTGCTTCTGCCGCGTGCCTTGGTGGAAATTGGAGCATGAGAACTCCCCCGTGCCAATTACCATGAGTCCTCGAGGAGAACAGGACAGAGAGTGGCTGGCCGATCATCGGTTTGCAGATAGGCACAGATGATGCTGGTGTCACGTTCGATAGAGTCACAACGCTCCATATCGTGGCTGGTAACTAGCTATGGGACTGGCTCCCTTTTTCCCACGATCAGCGTTAGCTAACTAAGTATATCTTACGACTGCTAATTCGAGCCGGCGTCATTCCGAGCTACTTTTTTCAAATTAAAAAGGTCTCCAAGATAAAGGGGTCAGAGCACTCACAGGTGGCGTCTGTCGATGAAGATGACGCGGCGATAATTGGTTTCCCAGATGATACACAGGTTTCAAGCCCGAGTACCAACTGAACCGACTAGTTCGCAGGGCTATATAAAGAAAATATGAAGCCAGGGGGAAGAAGAAGAAAAGAAACCCACAAGCCGCCAAGCCCAGAGACGAATACCAACCATAACCAGCGCGAGCTTGTCCTCTTTTCGAAGTTGTAGCCGAGCAATCTGCTAGAGTGGTAGCTCCAAGAAGCTGAAGCTGGTCGCGATTCGATTACCGCGTGCGATAGCCATATTCCAAAAATGATCAACGCAGCGGTGGTTTGGAATACTTTAGGCCCAAAACGCCTCTGTTGGGCGGCATTCTCAGACGGTTGCAAAGGAAAAAGAAATTCCAAACAGCACATTGAACGCGATCAGAGCCTTGCATGTCCTGGCGAAGTTACCTCTCGACCGCGAATAATAACAGCGGGCAGATGGAATAGAACCGGGCATTTCGACATGGAGATGACCATCTTGTAGAGCTCTTGTGCAACAAGAACCCATTTTTCATTCCCTGTTACAGATTCACTCGGTTGTTGTTTGTTATCAGTTTTTGTTATGGCGCGGCTGTTGAACTAGTAGCCAAAATATCTTGGATGCAGCAGATTTAAGCTCATGGGGCTTAAAATAATAGTTTAATCCAACCTTCACTCACGACCAGGCAATTCCCCTTGGATGTTTCCTGGGCATATTTGCCATTTCCTTCTGCCCGAACATCAATTAGGAGGAATTCAAAGAATAGCATTGCTACATACCCATGTTTTTGGACATTCGTCTTGCCGTCAGCGTCTACCTTTTCCTCGTGCAGCCAGAACACCCGATATGCGACCCGGTAGGGAGAACATCTCCGCCCATTTGAACCAGGTATCAGAAAAGATATGAATCTGTACGTATAAATTTCTCTGTATCCCATGTACCCTGCCATTGTTTGCGAGATTACGTCTCTGTTTGGCCTGGCATGGCCGGGTTGCATGGATACCAAAGCTTGTACAGAGACAGGTGTCTGCCGGGTCCAATGACTCCTGCACTGAATCTTGTGTATCCTGAGAGCAGCACGTCAAACGCGGATTTACTCTGCCACCCTGTCCTGGAAAACTTGTTTATTTCACGTGCAGGCCAAACTCAACCCTGCGGGCGATCAGAAGACCAGCAACAAGCATATAGCTATTTGTGGAGTCACAAATTCTTAGCTAGAGCTGGGGATGGGTACTGCTATTCATACAACAGATGGCAAAGTCAGGGTGTTGAGTAATATATGATATTAACATTGATCTCCTTAGGTAGTTGTGGTGTAGCTCAGCGCCATGTACTTGATTTTAGATTGGGCTCAACTACCACTATTCAGGATCCATCTGTGGGATGGAGAAACGTGCATGCTGCCAACTCATTTCTATCAAGTAATAGTGGCTAGATACTTTGGTCAATTTGCTCAACAGTCGGCAACAGTAGGGTTCTCTGGAGCATCAAATATAGTTTCGGCTGTGATCCCAGGCAGTATTCAATTTGACTGTCGTGTAGATACCCCATATCACAGATAGCATATCAACCAGGGTCCTCTACAGGGGGATCCCTCCTCCATTTGACTCTTCTATCCAAGCCTTCGGTTGTATGACGAAAATGAAGGTTGAATCCCAAAGTGTATCCCGGTAGAAGACTCCCCCGCATTTTCCTATGACTTCACTTTCCGAAACGCTCAAGTCAACTGCCCGCTCTCTATCCATGGATAGATCCAAACCCATTTGAACTTATTACCAGTGGAATAGGCCGCAGCGAGCTCCGCAAGGCCAGGGAGCTGACGTTTACAACCCATCATTCACTCGAAAGGGAGCATACGGCTAGGGGATTTTTACAAAAACAACGTGGTGGAGAAAATTGTATAGCTCTCAGAGTAGACTGGTCCATACACTTAGTCGCACAACTGTTGGCAATAAAGTGACCTAACCAGCCTGTCGAATCTATCTTGATCGAAATGGATCCCTTGGACAAGGCTACGTCAAACGATGCATGACGCTTATCGCTGCGGATGATTGCATGGGGGGCTGCCATCAACCATGTTCCGCATAATACTGCCCGTAAAGCGACTTCTCTCTCCCGGATGGACTCAAGATTGTTGGATCGGAGGAAAATGGTCTCAAACTTGGACGAAAGAAAGGAACTAACATTGAAATCATGCTTTCAATTACTTAGTGGCTAATTTTTCTCCTATTTGTACCTATTGCGGTAATAGGTTCGCTAGTCGACACAACTAGTGGACTCGTAATAGGCCATGCGTTGACTTCTCAGCCATCTGTAGTCAAATATCTAGGAATCCCATATGCGAACGCTCCGGTTGGGAACCTAGATTTGCACCACCCGTTAGATTTGTGTCTGATACACCCTTTAAAGCCGCGAATTTTGTAAGTCACCTGCCCATTTCTCCTGGAATATTATAAGGGGACCGGGTATCCTCTTTTTCGTCGTCCAACATTAACCAAGATATCGTCTATTTACTAGTCCTGGATGTCCTGATAAAGCTGCCAATGACCGTTGGTTAAGAAGCCGGTTGTTGGCTAAGACATAGGTGTGAACCTAAAGCGCCGGCCTACAGACTCCAGGCAAATCAGTTCATTACCTGAATAGAACAGCCCTCCAGCAATCATCATCGCCAATTTTTGCCAGTTAATATGTGATGCCCCAGAGTGAGGATTGCCTGAAGTTGAACATTTGGGCGCAGGATACGTCACAGAAGAAGAAACCCGTGTTACTTTGGATTCATGGAGGACGTAGGTCTATTTTTATACCTTCTCTAATAGATATCAATCGGGTTAACGGATCTTGCAATGTTCTAGGCTTTTCCCTCGGTAGCACAAACAACCCCTTTTATCAGGGTCAATACATTGGCGATAAGGAGGGTATTATCGTGGTGTCAATGAAGTAGGTGGCATGCAGTTCGCCGTTCGTAAATACCGATGCATGCACCTAACTGGTAAACAGCTACTGCCTCAATGTTTTTAGTTACCCTGGTGCGCCAGGCTCTCCTTGGAAAATTGCACTGCTTGATCAGCGTATGGCAATAAAATGGATTCGAGATAACATTGCGGCTTTCGGGAGTGATCCTTGCCGTATTACTCTAGCCTGTCACCCGGCTGGTGGAGTTACGGTTGATTACTATACGTATAACTATATTGAGGACCCTATTGTCTATGCTGTCGTACCTATGCCTGGCAGTGCTATAAGCTTTTTGCCTAATACCCCAGAACAGTCTGAGAAATACTAGTATACCTCATCTGAAGTGCTTGGCTGTGGTGGTTCCGGTGATACACTACCCTGCGTTATAGATCAAAGACTGCTACGGATGTCCTAGCCGCAGCAGCCAAGGTGTCCCCCGAGTCCAGCAATCTGCAACTACCGCCAGTGTTCCGCCCAACTATCGATGAGAAGCTCGTCTTTTCGAACTATGAAGAGCGTGCAGCTAAGAGAATGTTTGCTATGATAGTAAGTTTAACCCACGCCTTGAATATCACCACGATAAGTGAAAAGGCGTGGCATTTGTTTAACTTGGCTGGATTCACGTGCTCGAATGCGAGGGAAGCAAGTTACCGCTCGGCAATGTGTGTCCCAACCCAGTTATATATATATATTAGCGAATGGCCTAATTCAATTCTATTCCCAGAGAGTGGATCATACCACGGCTCTGACGTGGCTCAATTATTTGGCACATCAGAGGATATCAGCAATGGAACTGCAAACACTGAGACCGAAGTAAAATCCTCAGCGTATATGATGCATGCCTTTATGGGTTTTGCAGCAGATCCTCGTAAGGGATTATCAAGATTTGGATGGCCCATATACAGGATCAATGGAAGGGGTGTGCAGATGAATTCCATACACTAGGCAGTGCAATACTAACTATATTTAAAGGGAAAACTTTGATTGGATTAGTATTTAGGAATGTGTCCTGAGCAACCTACCCGCCTCCTTTATTCTCCGATATAGATTATCCATTGGTTGGTACAAACACGTCTTATGCTTGTGGGGGATTTTGAAGCTTGAGATTCGGACCTTCCTGAAAAAAAGGAGCATAACACTCTCATGACGTATTGGTATAGCATAAAATGAGTTTGTTTTCATGATAAATTTACCATGAGAGAAGTCAATATCGTAATCTGACACTGTTCCCTTTTCCATGAGCTTTGGTATTAATTTGGATTTTATATCAGAAAGTTTATTGGTCCATGCTTAACTTTGTCGTATTTTTATTGATCCGTGGATTTCTGATGACATAATATAGTTAATTTAGACGGGTCTGTAACTAACAGGAAAAGAGAACCAAGAGAAGATAACATGTTGATGACGGGGTTACAATTAAGAAAGATGATAACCTAATAAAAATCGTCAGGAGCAAACAAATATTTATCATGAGCACATAAGACCGACAGAGACGAGTAACAATATGAAACAACGTTGAGAAAGATGATTAATAGTGTATGATATAGAACATATTGGAAAGGGGATATCAATTACTCTGGGTGAGTAAATATGTAAGGAATAAAGACTGCATGGCAGCACACCCAAACCGTATTTCTATCAAGATCGAATGTGGCGCTAAGTTGTATTTTCAGTAGTGATTTTCTCATTTGGCGATTTGTTCCATTCACCGGGACTTATACGTCTGTTTATTTTGGGGTTGGTAAGGAAACGGACTTTGAGGCTCCTATATTGACGTTTCATGGTGGTTGTTCTATTGGACCTGGGCGACAATTTCACTGGCCTTGGTGAGACTTTCTACCATTCTCTGGCATTCCTTGCGGCGACGGACAGTGAATTCACTTTCGCGAAGGAGGTCATCCGGTTCTTCTGCCCTGTAGAGATTCCCTAGGAGCTCTCTTTGCATTTCATCCTTGGTGAACCTGATGATTCGCGTTAGTAGCCGATATTTAGGGCTATAAGTGCTCTGGAACTTACTGGACAAGGGTGAGCATAATAGCTTTGGGCACCATGTCAATCATGGTTCGCTTGACAATGTTGTAGTACGAGTTAATTAGGAGTTCTGTAGGTAGAGGTTAGTAGGCGGCTAATTAAAGGAGTTTTACAGGTTCAGACATACTTATAACCTCAACCTCGGTGTTTTCTCGCTCTGATAGGGTTCCGGAAGCCTTCAAGATTGGAGGAGGGGCCTCCATAGCAGCCATCTTCTTCTTGCTGTTCTTCGAGGAAAAGAAACTGCCGAAGAAGCCTGGGCTGGAGTCACCAAGGTCGAGACTGGGACTAGCAGATCGTTGCGGCATAGTGGCCGAGGGTGGTAGGGGCTTTCCGGTCTTTGGGTCAACCTGCGTTGGTTTCGATGCATTTTGTCGTTCGTTAATGATTGCCATAGCCTATGCGTCCATTGTTAGTATGTCATTAGACAAGGATATTGTGAGAAAATCTTACCCTGTGTCCAGTGATAAAATCAGGATGGCCAGTGTTGATATAGCAAGCTTCCATGGCAACGAGGTCCTTGACAAGCTTATTCGTTGGCTCCATGACTTTCTTGAAAAATGATATTACGACTCCATGGAATCTTTCCTTTAGCTGTGGATACCTTCTGAAAGGCTGTTTGTTCAGGAGCTGAGCAAGGATTCTGACAAGTTCGTCATAGACAAGAGAAACGCATTTCAAACTAGGCTCTTCGAGTCGCTTAATTTGTTGCTTAACGATAGACTCGAACGCGCCTGTTCCGACGAACAAGGCAGGTGAAGGACCGGACGAGTTGTACAGCATTGTTCTGATATCCATGTCCTTCACCATATCGAAGGGATCAATGGCCTTGACACCGTTGGAGTATAGTTCGTGGAAAACGAAGCTAACACGTGCACCACCGGAGAGCTCAACAGATGAAAGTTCCTGGTTGTTACCATCCAGGATAGTTCGGTACTCGTTGCTGAATTCTGTGATAATGTTGAGAATGATGTTGGCACTGTTTCCAAGCATCGAGTCACCAAGCTGGTTCAATTCGGCGCTGTACTTCTGCAGCGATGATGCAATGCGGGCTTTGATATCGGGAAGGGTTTGTTTAATGTGCATCATAAGTATCTAAAAGTGAACAGTTAGTCGTAAGCTATACCCGGTTTAAAGATTCCTAGTGACACATACCACATTGAGCTTTCTTGCAAGGTATGGTGTTCCGCAGTAGGCAGATTTAGAAGAATATGTGGCATTGTTTTCAAAGAAGTTCTTCTCATGCTCAAGAGCATACGAGATTGTGCGCTTATTCTCAATATCTCGCTGTCCTCTGTTGACAACCGGTACATATCCAAGGCGTAGTGGAATAACTCTGCCAGCGAGAATATCCACCACGTCAGTTCCAGCATCCATAAGGTCGACCTTGGTCAAAACACCAATCGTCCTCTGTCCTTCTGGATCAACTTCTCGAGCAAGCTTCAAACCATCGGAGTTGGCCAGATCCTGGTTCGCAGCCGTGACGGCAAGAATAATCGCATTCGACTTGCTGATTTGCTTCAGCACCATCTCTCTTATCTGCTTCTCGATGTCCTTTGGCTGGTCTCCGACGGGCACCTTGGTCAAACCGGGCAGATCGACCAGTGTGAGAGTGAGGACGTTGGGAGAATAGATTCGCAGGTTGATAGGCGCGGGGGAGATTCCGGCATTGCGACCGGTCTTCGCATCTGTCTCACGGACGATTTCTTCTCTGATCTTGTTGAAATCATGGAACTTCTGGCCTGGAATGTGAAGAAACTCGCCATATTCATCGATGTTTGCCTCGCTGTCGGTAGTATCTAGCTTGTCTTCTTCCTTGACACCGTTCGATTGTTTTTCGGAGCGGGGCTTGTTGATAAGCTGGAGGACAAGCGGTCGTCGAGTGACAATGCCAGACCCTCGTGGTAAACTGGTAAATCCGCCATGTTAACCATTAAACGTCCTCCCAGCATACTCTGTAGGGGAGGCAAAACATCTGCTCCCAGAAGGAGGTGGAGGGAGGGGGGGCCTTATCCAACTCACAAGTCTCTTCCCACTATGTTCTCTAAGACGGAACTCTTTCCGCTGGATTGCGATCCAACGACGACTATCTGTGGTAAATCTATCGGGTTTTGTGCCTGTATAATGTGCGCCGCTGGTCAGGGTCTGCGTTCTGTCTAGGCGGTATGGGTACGCTCGGTGCCCACTCCAGGGGTAGGAAAACAACATACTCCAACGGTCGTGAAGACATCTTGCAACTTATTGACGAGAGAGATCAGACTAGGGTCGTTGACGCTTATCCTACACCCAGGCGAGTTTCCTGCATTAGCAACATGGCCGATCGTGGGTTTGGTGTGCTTGGGCAGGAGACGGAGAAGAGTACTTACGAATAGCCAGCTTGGGCCGCCATGGTCTGGCGATATAATGTACAGTCGAGCTGAAGGAGGCACCGGCGAAGAGGAAGAGCAGGACCAAAGAAGCTGTCTTGGTGAAGATGTCGTGGTTGGGCAAGGGTTGGTTGTGGTTGGGCTAGGTATATTCTCCTGTCTGGTGTATTTTGGGCGTTTTGAACAAGTTCGATGTTTTGGAGAGTTTTTGGGCCTGTTCACGTGCAGCTGACCCTCGTCACACGCAGCTTGTGTATTTATTGACTTGATATTGATAGACGAGGGGGGTGATGATAATGATAATGATGATGACTAGAGTGAAGAGCAGGCAGAAGTATTCGAAGAAGCAAATATATAGTGAATTGACTGGGAGACAAAGGTGGTGAAAAAGTTGGGGCTTTATAGTGTGATGTTGATAATGCTGCTGCCTATACTGCGTCTACGTATATATAAATATATCAAATGCTGACCTCGCGGGATGGCACAGAAACTCAACAGTCTATTGACCCGACGGGCAGGATAGATTATTATGATAAATGGCTTTGCTGGTTCACCTTGGTCCTGTAGGCCAGTTTATTCGGTGAATTGACATTTTGCATTTGTACGAACAAAAAAAGGGAAGAAAGGGGTAAAAACCGAAATATTTACTCATCCGACACCGAGGCGAACTTTTCAGACATGTCTTGGAGGATTTTATCGTACTGCAGACAGGTTAGTAAAATAATTTTATGTATATATGTATTGCAGGTTAGATGGAAGACGGGGACATACCTTAGCGGTGACTTCTTTCTCGTCATCAGGGACCTCGAATTTCATGTTTCGGAGGGCAGTCTGGATGGCGCTGGTGGCTTCTCGGACCTTAGCCCAGCTTTGACCCTGGGCAATAGCCTTCTGACTCTCCTCGTAGTAGGAAACGAAGGCCTTCATCATGTACTCTGTCTTCCAAAGGGGGCAGAACTGGTCGTAGTCAGAGTACCCGTTCTGCTGAAGGAAATCTTCCTTGAGCAGGGTGGCCACGTCCAGCGTGATCTTGTCGGCATCTCCGAGAGCAGACTTTCCAACGAGCTGCACGACCTGGTCCAGTTCTTCGGAGTTACTGAGCAGCTCCTTGATCTTGTCACGTAGTCGGGGGAACTCGGGGTGCTCCTTGGCGTAGTACTTGTCAAGAATGCTTGTGTATTTACTGTAGGATATGGAAGTGTTGATGGACGGGAAGTGTTTTCTTTGGGCGAGCTTCTTGTCGAGACCCCAGAAGACTTGGACAATGTTGAGTGTACTTGTGGTGACGGGATCAGCAAAGTCACCACCAGGTGGACTAACGGCACCGACGATGCTGACACTTCCTTTTCGCTCGGGGCTGCCCAAGGCAGTGGTCTGACCCGCACGCTCGTAGAAAGAAGCAAGTTTGGCACCGAGATAGGCGGGGAAACCCTGATCAGCAGGCATCTCTCCTAGACGACCGGAAATTTCACGGAGAGCCTCAGCCCAACGAGAACTGGAGTCTGCCATCATAGCAACATTCTTGCCTTGGTCTCGGAAGTACTCTGCGATGGTGATACCGGTGTAGATGGAGGCCTCACGGGCAGCCACAGGCATATTGGAGGTGTTGGCAATCAAACAGGTACGCTTCATGATGGGCTCTTTGCGTCCTTCAATGGTGATTGTAAGCTGTACAAGTTAGTAGCTAGACATAAGCTTGGAGGTAGTAAGTAGTAATGGGGGACTGGCTCACCTCTGGGAAATCCATCAAGACTTCCGCCATCTCGTTACCGCGCTCACCACAGCCGACGTAGACGATAATGTCACTGTTGGAGAATTTGGACACACTCTGACTGATGACGGTCTTTCCACAGCCGAAGGCACCGGGGATGCAGATAGTACCGCCCTGGACACCAGGGAACAGAGAATCCAAGACTCGCTGGCCGACGATGAAGGGAGAATCGGAGGCGAGCTTCTCGTTGACCGGGCGAGGAACACGAACGGGCCATACGTGCATCATGCTGTATTCGGTCTTCTTGCCATTGAACTCGACTTCTAGCAGCTTCTCCTCGACGGTAAAGTCACCGGGCCCAGAGATACGTGTGATGGTTCCTCGGGCTCTTGGAGGTAGGAGAATCTTGTGGTCGTAAAGCAGACTGTTCTCGAAGACGGTACCCCAGACGTCACCACCAGTGATGTGGTCACCAACCTTGAGACCGGCGGGCTTGAAGGCCCATTTTTTCTTGCGGTCGAGAGCGGGCAGGGCCACACCACGGGGAATGTAGATGCTGTTGGAGACCTCAGAGATGGACTTGAGAGGACGCTGAATTCCGTCATAGATGGTTTCCATCAGACCGGGGCCCAGCTCGACGGATAGCGGCTTGCCGGTTCTGATAACGGGGTCACCGACAGTGACACCGGCTGTAGTAGTAGCAGCAGTCAGTCAGTTAGTGGTCAGAAGGGGGGGCTACGCCAGGCTATTCAGACAGGCCAATTGCTGGGGACTGCGTACCTGTCTCCTCGTAGACCTGGATGGTGGCCTGGTCTCCTGAGATTCTGATGACTTCTCCAACGACTTTGTCGACTCCAACATGGCACTGCAGGCATCATCATAATCAGCAATCCATCCTGTAAACAACCCGCCAAAGGGCAGGGGGTCAAAGGAGCAACCGACCATCTCGTACATGGCACATCCTATCATGTTCTCTGCCACGATGACAGGGCCGGAGATGGAGAAGACGACTCCCTTCTGCTCATCCCCGGCCTCCTCCTTCGAGTCCTTGGGTGCCATGGCTGGCGGCGACCTCGTTTCAATCGGTGCAGTAGACGATGACGATGTGCTCTCTGTCTCGGAGCCGTCGACGCTGTGGCTGTCCTCGCTCTCGTCGAGTTCCTCTCTCTCGTCGTCCTTGCTGTACCTGCAGTTGTTGTTGTTGCTGCTGGTGGTGTCGTCGACGTTGTTGTTGACGTTGTTGTTGTTGGTGGTGAAGACGAAGTTGAAGCTGCGCGGTGGAGTTGGATCTTGGTGCTGCTTTAGGGCGCTGCAGGCATCACCATCGCCATCAATAGCACCAGCAGCAGCAGCAGCAGCAGCAGAAGACGTCGACGCAGCAGAGACGAGGCCGAGCAGAGACGGTCGTGGCCTGAAAGACGGTCGTCCGAGTCCCAGTATCATACAGCTTGCTCTCCTTTTACCACTTGGTGTCTATTTTACAGGTGTTCTACTTTGTCCGCCTGTCCGCCTCATACAGCAACTACGGCGTGAGCTAGCATGTAGATAACTAGTCATCTCGGCTGCCAAGGTGCTCTGATATTTGAGACCCTATGTTCAACGGGGCTGCCTTCGCCGTTTGCTCTCTTTCTCTCTCTCTCTTTGTCGTCTGTAGCTGTAAGACAGTCGAGGAGCCCGCCAGCTTCTTCAGCTTCAGCTTCGCCGGGCCAGGTCCATCTCATACATAGCTCTCGGACTCGCAACTACTGGTAACTCACCAGGCCGGGTGAGGGTCATCTGATGGCCCTGGGCAATCGGACTAGCTGTGGCCGGCGGGAGGCGAGGAGAGGCCGGGAGCTGGGGAGATGACATCCCCAAAGTCAACGGAGAGGGTGGAATAACAATCGGAAGTCCAAGAGATATATATCTCTTCCTCTGCAGCGTATCCTGTCCCTGTCCGGCCCGTCAAGCCCTGCCACGCCAGATACATCGACGCATCCAAGCTGCTGCAGTATCCAGCACTTTCTGCGTCTTCCCGATTGAACAAGCAGCCCAACTCTCGCCCTCTGATAGGCGGCACTTCGCCAATCACATGTGCTGGCGTCACTAGCATGGGGATGAAGGGGCCTGGCAGAGGCCAAAAGGCAAAGACAGGTCACTTTCCGCCGAGAAGCCGTGAAGGAGGTACCCAAAGTCAAGACAAGAACCCATGTAGGATAAGCAGAGACCGTCGAGTTACCTGCTGCAAAACAGACTTCCCCTAGACGTAATAGTGACTGCTCGTGTATATGTGGAGGTACCTTACGCATGACGGAGACGCTGGCTGGCAGCGATCTTTGCTGCTGGGCCGGACGGTTCTTCTGCTGCTGCTCTGCAGTCACCTTGGGCATCGAGCTGTCAACCGTTCAACAGTCTCAACAGTGCGACTAGTTACACTGAGGACTTTCATTACGGCTTCTTCTTCTTCTTCTTCTTGCTTTTGATGCCCTCGATGGAGGCGTTTTTAGCGGTAGAAGTTGCAACTGGCAGTCAAAACATGGTCAGCAAGCAAGCAGCAGACGCAACAAACAGGCAAACAGTAAACACAGAGTACACGAGAAATAGGGCACAGGATCCTCAGCTGGTAGAAATCAGTAGCAGTAAAGCCAGGGTAGAGAGCACTGGCAGTCAACAAATAGGGCGTTGTGGCTGATCTTCTCGCTCGATGAAAGCTTGACCGTAATATGCATCTTCGTCTCTCCCTCCATTTGTCTTCGTCTTCATCTTCTTAAATATCAACCTCGCTCCCCCTTTCCAACCAGCTTCTTCTACTTCACCACCACTATCAGGTAGCAGAAGATCGATAGACGGAGCGAAACCCCCGCTTGTTACGCTCTCTCGTGCTCTCTCACCGGCTACCTGTCACAGTCCTTTGTCCCTTGCTGCTATCGCCTCGCTAGGATATCTATTCACTGCAGTGCAATCTTGATATCCAACATCTGCCCGTACGTACGCTCTCATCTCTCTCTCCTTCAGCCCGCTACAGGTAGCCAGACGGCTAGATTGTGTGATCTAACCTCTATTTCCCTTGTCAGTTACTTCTTGTAGCTCCTCCAGACCGTTACCAACTCCTTCCGCTGGCCACTGCCCTGGACCTTGCTCCACGGCCATCTATATCCCTCCCTCCAGCTCCCTCCTTGACAAAACGGCCTACCTCAGCTGGTTCTTTATTGAACCAGGCTGAAAGGCTCAGACGCTGTCTTCGACCTGGCAGACGAACCTCCCTCACATACACCTGTCTCAGCTGGACCCGGCCTCTCTGATCCATCATCGAGCTCCCTGTGAGTTCCAACCTGACCAGAAGAAGAAGAAGACTATAAAAGATAAAAGAAAGAATAAAAAAAAAAAGAAAGAGAGAGAGAGAATACTATTCTGTTCATTCTGACCTGTTGCTAATCCCTAGGGATAGCAGCATCCAAAGGACAGAATCCGTTCAGCATAGCCTACCTGCTCTGGGAAGACCTGATCAACCCTCCCAGCAGCCTACGAACACGCCCTCTGAGGCCGGGCCACGCCGTAACCGCCGACGCCGCCGTCAAGACCTACCCTCTGACCAGTCTGAGAGCTCCGAGCCCACCCGGGTGAATACTGCCGAAGGAGCTGCTGAACATAGCACGGAGATTGCTGCAGCACCTGCTACTACTATTACTGGACCTCCGACGGAAAACGAACGCCCGCCTACTAAACGCAGAAGGTATACTGTTGACGTTATGAGACCAGACGGTGGCCCTTCCCCTTCCAATTCGAACGGTTTTACGTCCGTCTCGAACGGTGCCTCAAGCTCCCTTCAAAAGCCGCCCCTTCCAAATTCCCCTGCTGGAAAACAGTCGCAAGCCGAATATCAGGATGCCACCATGTCGAACGGATCATCTCCCCTATCCCCTACATACCGCGGCCACGACCGGGAGGAAGTTACGAGGATACTGATACAGAGTCTATACGAGCTGGGTTACCACCAGGCTGCTTCTACCTTGACAGCTGAGAGCAAGTATGAGCTTGAGAGTCCCGGTGTAGCTGCTTTTAGGACTGCCATATTGGGCGGAGACTGGAATGAGGCCGAGAGGATACTCCTGAGCTCCTTTTGCCCCGATGGGGATGCTGGAGAACTAGACGGCGTAACTGGTAAACAGCTTGCCAAACGAGATGGCCTTGTCCTGGCCAGTGGTGCCAACGAAAACGAGATGTTGTTCTGCATAAGGCAACAGAAGTTCCTCGAGCTGCTCGATCGACGGGACCTGACAACGGCTTTGGTTGTCCTACGCCAGGAACTCACACCATTGAACCATGATATCACACAACTCCACGCTCTTTCGAGGTAGGTATTCACTCCAGATTATGATACGTCAGCGCTGGACAGGTCACTAACCATTAGCTAGTCTACTAATGTCTACGCCTGAGAACCTGCGAGCACGAGCCGGTTGGGGACGTACCATTAATGAATCTAGGCAGAACCTCCTATCGGAACTCACTAGTTAGTATTCCTGAGCTAATATCTATCTCGCTATCACTGATATTAACCTTATGCCCAGGGTCTATCTCTCCTTCCGTCATGATACCAGATCACCGATTAGCAGTCCTGCTTGACCAAGTAAAGCAAACCCAAATAAATAACTGTCTATATCACAACACCGCAGTGTCTCCTTCCTTGTATTCGGATCACTTGTGTGATAAAAGCGGTTTCCCACTCCGGACGGCGTTCGAGCTCAGTCACCACACCAATGAGGTTTGGTACCTGGAATTCTCCCACGATGGAACCAAACTTGCCACAACAAGCCGCGACTGCACGGTTTTGATATATGACTCTACAACCTTTGAAATAATACATCGGTTGACGGAGCACAGTGAGCCCGTTGCTTACGCTACATGGAGCCCAGACGATACCAAGTTAATCACTTGTTCTCAAGACTTCAAGGCTAAATTGTGGGATGTTCCGGTATGTCAATGCTGCCTTTGTATGGTGTCTTCAATATACTTACCAAGAACAATCATAGAGTGGAACTTGTCTTTTGACAATTGAACATCACCATGCACCAATCACATCCGCATCATGGGCTCCAGATGGAGAGTCCTTCGTCACAGGTTCTCTCGATAGCCAGTCTCAGCTCTGCCATTGGAGTGTCCCCCATAAATCCCTACTATATACCTGGCCTGGTCAATACCGGGTCCGCGACTGTGCTATAACTCCGGATGGCAAACGACTGATTGCCATCTCTCTGCAAAAGAGAATTTATGTTTACAACTTTATAACCCGCGAGGAAGAGTACAGCGTTCTCCTCAAACTGGATCTCACTTGTCTGAGTGTTAGCGCTGACTCGCGGTTTATGCTCGTTAACATGTCTGAAAACGAAGTGCAGCTCCTTGATATCGAGACAGCAGAGGTGGCTCGACGATTTTTGGGTCAGAAGCAAGGCAATTTCCTTATTCGAAGCGCTTTTGGCGGAGCTGCTGAGAATTTTGTTGTCAGTGGCAGTGAAGGTATGTCTTTAACCCCCATCTCCCCATAAGCAGTCCTGCCATACCTAACCAGCCGTTACTACTAGATGCGAAAATCTACATCTGGCATAAGGAGAACAGTCGACTTGTTGAGTCCCTGGAAGGCCATGTTTCTGGCTGCGTCAATGCAGTCGCCTGGAATCCAACTGATCCTGGAATGTTTGCGTCGGCTGGAGATGATCGCAAAGTCAGAGTGTAAGCATATCATCTTTATAATGCCATCATCCCTCGTTCAACCACTAACTGAATATCCAGATGGATGAGACAGCCTTCCCTAGGAACGTCGTCGGGCAATAAATCCAGGAGATCAATTCGAAGCAATCCATCCTCAAGTGCCGTCTCCCTAAAGCCTTCTGGCTAGCCATGCTTTAGCAAAAGTATGCGATCATCCAATTCCCCCACACCAACAAATCCTGTTTCCGCCATCGCCTCCGAACACCGCGGATTGCACATACCCATTGCTTACGGAGTTCATTGGTTCCCCTCTATTATTCTCATCCATCCTTCTTATACTTTCGCCGTACCTAAGTTTACTACACCGCTTACAAGTATCAATTGCATTATCACGGGGTTATTATGCGTTTGGATCCTACTTTACGACACGACACATTCGTTTGATCTGCTTTATATTTTATTTTCTCTTTTCCCTTTTTACTACCCATCATCTATTCATTCAACAGGGTAAGAAATGGTTCGGTTCGGTTGGTGGTTGGTGGTCGGAGGTATCTCGAACGTGGAGGTTGACAATGCAGCGCTTCTATTCTTTTCCCATGGCACGGCTTCGCCTTTTTTTGCCCATGTCATGTCAGTTTTAGGAACCGGGACTTGTCCCCCATATATATCTTGGCTATTCTCGGCTTTGCTTGTTGTCTTCCCTCTTTTTTCGGCGTATCCTGCATAATACATTTCTTCCGTTTTGTCTTTTGCAGAAGATAATCATCCTTTTGATACTAGTTAAGTTATATACCATCAATCACTCGACTTACTATCCCCGCCAGTGTGCAATCTTGTGTTCATAATATATTTAACGAACGACTCTGCTTATGGCTTGTTCTACACCTGCGAATTCGGGCTGTGGGATGTACGGATGGAATGGAATGGGTTAGTTTTATCCTGGAGTCAACCAAAGCCGCTTATAAGGAAGGCACTGTTGCCAGCACACAGCTTGCCATAAGTGTGCCGTAGAACTGATGAAAAAAAAGTGAATGAAAACAGTAAGAATATCGGATAGCGGTGTCTTGCCTAGGCTATAAGCAAAGGCACGCCTTGCATTCCAGGTCTATCCTAACCGGAAAAAGATTGAGACATTAACAGACATCAAAGCTAGAGGCTCAAGTACATCATATCGAAGCCTCGAACAGAAGAATTTGCGTTAAGAAAAAGTAAACAATTCTAGCATCAGAGGAGGAATTTGGCGTTAGTTAAATGTTGTTCAAATAATGGCTGTGAATGGCAACATACTCGTTTTAATAATATCCCCTGTTCCCCCACGCGTACTCTTTCGAGACATGTTCATTTAGCCATCCGAGGCGAAATGCTAGACGTTGGTGTTGTACCACGGCTTAAGCCGGTGGTGCATGAAAGGCATGCTATGTGTGGTGACCGAAAATCACGTTCGTCTTCAATCCTCCAGTCATGCTTCAACTCATATCCGGCGGGCATATTAGTGCCAGACCAGTCTGCCACGAGGAACTTAAGCAAGGAGATCGGCAACTAATTGAACAAGTTAGCAGAAAAGGTCATGGCTATTGTAGTTAAACTTAAGAGCCACGTACCATTCATAGGCATCTCATCAATCTGAGTTGAGTAGTAAAGTTCGATATCTCGCAGGATCCGGACGTCTTCACTAGTCACAAAGTTGATAGCTACACCCTTGCGACCGAATCGACCACTTCGGCCAATTCTGTGGATATAGTTTTCACGATTGCTTGGTAGATCGTAGTTGATAACAAGCGAGACTTGCTGGACGTCAATACCACGAGCCCAAACGTCAGTAGATATCAGGACTCGAGAGTTGCCCTGTCTGAAATCTTGCATAATGCTGTCTCGCTCCTTTTGAGGCATTTCACCATGCATGCTGGACACAGTGAAATTGGCTTCTCTCATCTTATCCGTCAACCAGTCGACCTTACGTCTTGTGTTGCAGAAAATAACTGCCTGGGTAATAGTTAATGTATCATAGAGGTCACAGAGTGTGTCAAATTTCCATTCCTCTTTCTCCACAGCGATGAAGTATTGCTTGAGGCCTTCGAGAGTCAACTCGTCACGTTTGACAAGAATGCGCACTGGGTCTGTCATGAACTTGGTCGTCATATCAAGAACATCGTAAGGTAGAGTGGCAGAAACAACCACAACTTGAGTGGCTGGAGGTAGGTACCGGTATACATCGTAGATTTGCTCTCGGAATCCGCGGTTGAGTAGTTCATCTGCCTCGTCAAGAACAAGCATCTTAATGTTACGAGTACGCAGATGTCGGCGTCGGATCATGTCAGCAACTCGGCCTGGTGTTCCGGAGACAACGTGTTGACCGTGTTCTAGTTTTCGAATATCTTCACCAACATTTGTGCCACCGATACACGCATGGCATTGTACATTCATATAATCTCCCAGGGCCATGACGACGGATTGAATCTGAGTTGCGAGTTCTCGAGTAGGAGAAAGGACAAGGGCTGTGTTGCGCTCGGTCAGCTTCAAATTACCCTGCTCTCACATGAACACAACAAAACATACCCTGTGATTCGCGAAGCACAGTATCAATGACCTGGAGGATGCTGATGGAGAAAGTAGCTGTTTTTCCTGTTCCAGACTGTGCTTGGGCGATGGTATCTCGTCCTTTGCAGATCTGAACAATTGCGCGAGACTGAACGGCTGAAGGCGACTCGTATCCGTACGCATATATGCCACGCAAGAGATTCTCCTTCAAGTGCATGTCATCGAAAGTCGGCGCAACAGTGACCTCCTTCGAGGTCGAGAACTCCATCCGCTCTGTAGTATTCTCTAGTTAGCTGCGCAGTTCAAGGTAAATCTCGAAACAGTAACCTACCATCCGCCTGTCTGTCAATGCCGTCAGCCATTCTGACAATCTGTATAATGTAGAGCTGCTTGTAGTTTATCAACCAAGTATATTTAAACAAAAACACGGATCAGCTGGACTTATTTCATGAATGCGACGACGCGAAGAAGTTGAACTTGAATTCTTTCTTTTCGCTGGGAGATTTTTAGGTTCATTGTCACGTGATGCTCTTAAGCTTTCTGGAGCTCCTAAATTTGTGACGAACAACAGATTGAGATATCGAGAAACGAACTGAAGAAGAGAGTAAGAAAGCCAACACAACAACGAGTATTATCATTCCAACGGTACTTAATTCCTGCGCAACCATATTCAAAACGCCGAGATGTTATTAGAAGATCAGAGGTTCATCCATGAGGATCTAGAGAGGCTTGAGCAAGGTATCAGTGACCGCGTTGCTGAAGAGCCTCGCAATGTGAGTATTGTACTGGTCAATTAACAGAATGCTAGATGTCACCGGCTAACCATAGAAATGGCCAAAATCAGATTCGAGAGCGACTTCTCCGTGACCATCAAGTTGCTAGATTTCTCAATCGCATACAGGAGCAGTCTCAACGGCTGTTAGATATCTACGAAGATGCAAACGGGCTTCGCGCCAAAGAGATCCAGTCTCTAACCGTCGGCGATCCTATGGATGAGTTCTATAAACACCTGGAAGAGATAAAGGATTTTCACCGCCGATACCCAAATGAGCCCGTGGAAAATCTTGAAAAGGCATATCGGCAAGGCTCCGGCGAGAACGACGCTGCTATACAAGAGATAGAGAATATGTTTACTGGAGAGGAATCACTGGGCCAGTTCTTTGATCTCACAAAGCTTCATGAACTATATCTCAATCTACCAGGGGTGAAACGCCTGACGTATCTGCAATATCTGGACCTATTTGACACATTTACCCAGCCGGAGTTACCCGTGAAACGAGCCAACAAACTTACGGATCAGTACTTTAATTACGTTGGCGAACTCGCTGCATACCTGGAAGGATTTATCAAACGATCGAACCCGTTGGAACCTCTCGATGAACTTTTTGCAAGCTTTGATACCGAGTTTGCAGAGCTTTGGGAGGCAAAGAAACTGCCAGGCTGGACCGAGGAATCGCAATCTAAGAACGGTACTGGCCCAAAGACAGAGGGTACAGGAGAGGGAATATGGTGTGCGGATTGTGAAAAGGAGTTTACAAATGAAAATGTGTATAAGAATCACTTGAAGGGGAAGAAGCATATTAGAGCCGCTGAGGCAAAGAAAGCCAATGGCGACTCTGAGACGCAACAATCACAGTCCGAAAAATCCAAAGATGCCTTGGTCCGTGTGCTGAAAGAGCGCGCAGTTGCAGAGCGTGAGCATCGCATTTCATCCCTAGCAAAGGCCCTCAAGGAAGAACGGCAAGCTACTCGTGTCAATGTTGAGAGGAAACAGGGAATGACAGAGCGCGAACGTCAAATGGAGCTTGATGCGCTCTTCGCCGACACTGGAGACAAGGGTCCAGGAAAGCGCAGAGACTCTGAGTCAGAGAGTGATAATGATGAAAAGGTCTACAATCCATTGAAGTTGCCATTAGCATGGGATGGAAAGCCTATACCTTACTGGCTGTACAAACTTCATGGACTTGGAGTGGAATTTTCTTGCGAGATATGCGGGAATTTCGTTTACATGGGTCGCCGTGCATTTGATAAGCACTTTTCGGAGGCTCGACATATCTACGGTTTAAGGTGCCTTGGTATTACCCAACAGACAAGTTTGTTCAGAGAAATTACCAAGATTGATGAAGCCTTACGACTGTGGGAGACCCTCGAAAAGGAACGAAAGCACGAACGGGATATCAAAGAGAATGTTGTTCAAATGGAAGACGCCGAGGGCAATGTCATGCCTGAACGTATCTACCTTGAGTACGTATCCCTAACTAGATATACCACTCTTCCCCACCGCCCCTTGTTCTCGCTCTTTACGTCGCTAACCCTAACTAAACAGTTTGCAAAAACAAGGCATTTTGTGAGCGAACATGTACATGTTTTTGTTACTGTATCTCTCCTGCGCATTAAATTCAGAGTGTATGATACTCTGCTACACCCCGGTATACTTTTGAGGAGCCCCTTTAACCTCAATCGACAACGATATAAGGGCAATCCCCTAAGGGGCCTTATCATCAGCAACGCTTGCTGTAGCAATGCTTGCTATATAGAACGCGAAATCAAATCGTTGTACGAGGGCAGGCAAAGAATGGACTGAATTAAATGGGGATGTGTAGGTAGAACTCGCGCTAGATGAATAGTGCTTAGTTTACTAACATATCCAAATAATATTAGACCCGGCTTCGTTTCGCAGTTATTGTTTCGCTAGTTCGAGACTTGACTGGAATATGACTACAATTTATCACTACTATCTTCGATAGAACGACCAAGGATCTCGAAACCATTTCTAGCAGCAACTAGCTCCCCAAGCATGTATCATTATTATGTGCTTATATTCAATTTGAACGTAAATTTCCACATCAACCCGAAAAATGAACTTGGAAGCGAAATACTCATACAACGCAGTCAGTAGTATTCAGGAGGTGGCTGAGCAGTTCCAGCACCCTTCTGCATATTCACCTCCCGTTCACTATGTGGCAGTCCTTCCTTTTCCCTCGTGGAATGACTGAAATCTCCAGTGTGCATTTCCTTTTGGCCTTCCCTGACGACACGTTCATTCTTTGCAGCACCCTCTGGATCGTTCATGGCTCGGTCAACAAATGCACCAGCAGAGCCACGGACCCTCTCGCCAAATCCCTATATTACCCATATTTCTCAGTCTTCATGTCTGCTGTATTTCAATTGATGTTTGACTCACATGAGCACCTGCAGCAGCAGACTTTACTCCCTGACCCATTTCCCGAACTGACTCTTTTGCTGCACCGCCTCCAGCACGGGTAGGATCTGTAGCTCCAGCGCCGGCAGTACCAGCTCTACCAGCTTGATTTCCACCACTGACACCCCCCGAAAATCCTCCAGACGTTTCAGAAGACATTACTGATATGAAGTGTTTTGCGTAATAATTGAAGTGTAGTGTGATGTAGTACTTTATAGACAATAGCCTGAGATCTATTTGATCCTCTTATATAGATGTTTGAGCCGTCAGCTATGACGTCACTAGGCCCAGTTCCAAGTTCTATCAAGGACGAGCATGGCGTCTTATTGAATGAACGTATCACCCTTAGCTAGCCGTTACAGTGCCCTATCCCCATCCTAACGCTTGCTTGCAAAGCTTGGTGCCTTTGACTCTGTAGCTAGTCGTTGAAGGATCGCAGAAATGGATGCTTGGGATGGAGAGGCGGCTGGGTCACGTGCTTTGGCGCCTGCCGCGTGTTTTTTGACGCGGAAATCTCGCTTAAGTCAACGTCTTCGTTAGCTCTCGCAAACCATCTACTTGCGAAGATAGCAGCAAGTTTGGTGAGTCTGGAAATCTGCAGTTGCATGCGGATTTTATATTACTGTCTCATTCTTTGAACTCCTATATACCCAGTATATAATCCATCTAGCTATTTGTACTTTCGTGTTTGTGCGCATATCGGGGGTAGACGGTTGCCTACATCATGCAGTTGTTCGAGTCAATCCATAGGCTGCGCTACCGGATTGGACATGGGGTTTAACTTTTCTTATATATGCGACTTGCTTTCGAGCTTGGATGCAAACCGAACTATAAAGGCCACGACTACCGGCAAAAGCAGAGATCCTGATGTGGCAACTGTGACCAATTGGTTCCGTGTTCACGAGAAGAAAATTCACGGAGGAGATACTGACTACGTGGCTTTCCTCTCGTGCCTTTTCCCCGAATTACGGCCTGACCGCGTTCATGGCTTCAAAGAGCCGGCCTTAGTTAAAATTATAGGACGATGTTTATTGCTTGGAGCTACTCGATGGCGGGAGCTGGAGGCGTGGAAGACTCCGGGCCGCGGCGATCTTGCCGAATGCGTCGAGCGAGTTATGGCTGATGCAGAGAACGAATTATTAAAGGACTCCCCTGTGACTGTCGAGGAAATAGATTCTGCGTTGACTAAAATCGCGTCCAGATGCCGCTTCTCCGCTCCGGATGTGCGCCACCAGCGTACTGCTATTCAGGTAGATGAAGCCTTAAAACCGATATTTCGCCGATTAACTAGCCGTGATGCAAAATGGTTTACTAGGCTGCTTCTCAGGGAATACACTCCTGTTAATATTCCACAGCGATTGTCCCTGCGAAAGTTTCATTTCATGCTTCCGGCCCTTCTTTCGGTACAGAGCAGCTTAAAGGGGGCCTTGGAGGCAATGGATCGCGGACCAGTCAAGAAGTTCCCGCCATGCCCTGATCCAGAATATGGGCGGACTCTTATGGAATTAGCTATTCCTCATCTTGCTCCACAGGTTGGTGTCAAGGTTGGGAGGCCGGAATATTATAAGGCTAGAAACCTCAGACACTGCTGCAGAATGGCTGATAAGCGATTAATGAGCATCGAGAGGAAATATGATGGAGAGTACTGTCAGGTACATATTGACTTGGAAATGGGTCCCAAATGTATCCGAATATTCTCGAAGAGTGGCAAAGACTCAACGGTGGATAGAAAAAATATCCATACTGCTATTAAGGATTCGCTGAGGATCCGAAAGCCTGGCTGTCGATTTTCCAAACGATGCATACTGGAAGGTGAACTATTGGTTTGGAGTGATATTACCAATGATATCCTCCCCTTTCATCATTTACGAAGGCATATCATGAGAGCAGGAACGTATATTGGCACTGAAAGCGATTCTCCGTGCGTATGTACCTACGTTATTGGTTATTCATCATTACTTACCCCCTCTTTTCTAGGCCAGACCCTCGGGAACATTTATATATCATATTTTTCGACTTGTTGCTTCTAGATGATAATGTCGCATTATCCAAGCCCTATGGGGAACGAAGGGCTCTTCTTAAAGAAGTTGTAAATCCGATCCATGGGCTGGCTGGGGTTGCAACGCAATTTGATATAGATTTTTCTGTGCCTAGTGCATATGAACACTTAAAAGAAGAGTTCGCTCTTGTCTCGGCCCAGAAATGGGAAGGGCTTGTTTTGAAGGGAGTGAATGAGCCATATTTCCGAACATTCTCTCAGGATACTCGTGAATTTTCCTGCTGCTGGATGAAATTCAAAAAGGAGTCTATCCCAGGCTTAGGAGACATAGCTGATTTCATTCTACTGGGGGGGAGATATGATTCTCGGGACGCTGCCGCCCTTAGTCATATTAAAGGATTATCCTGGACTTCTTTCTTCGTTGGTTGTCTGGATGATGACGTTGACTTGCTCTCACCAAAACCAGCCTTCCGCGTTATTGATATTCTGAATAAACAGAATATCAACACTAACTTGTTCCAAACTCTCAACCAACTGGGGAAGTTCCAAGCCTGTGATTCTGACTCTGATGATGTTCCCTTTTCCTTTCGAGTCGATCAAGTCAGAATACCGGAGATTCAGACCGTATTTAGGATACCATTCGTTGTGGAAATGACCGGCTTCGGATTCGATAAACCTCAAGGTGTTCGATATTACTCCCTTCGGTTCCCTCGAATTGTGAAAATCCACTCAGATAGGGATTATGAGGCAGCAGTGTCGTTCAGAGACTTACAAGAACTGGCCCGAATTGCTAATGCCGTTCCAGTTGAGGAACTATCACAAGAAGTTGCTGAATTAGCTGAAAAGCTCGATCCAGTTGACAAAAAACCTGAATATATTGTAGATCATTCGGAAAACTCAGCTACCACAGTGACAGCATCAAGTGCTGCCAACTCATCCCAACCTTTGTTTGCTGAAAACAACTCGATCGATCAACAGAGACCTAACCAAGTGGCTGTGGTGAAAGCAACATCTCATAAGTCTGAGCAGGAGCTCAGCCTTCGAACTCAACGTGGATCCTCGACTATTAATTGTGTCAATACCCAGGAAAATTCCAACGAGACGGTGTCAAACCTAGTGTGCATCCTCCCAGATACCACAGAAACATTCGGGGAACCGCTACATAGCAAGAAATCGCCTGGTCGAGAGTTAGCCGATATAACTAATCCAAGTGAAGATAATTCCACACTTTTCCCGAGAAATGACTCCTGTCATAATAAGTCGCAACCTGTCAAAAGAGTCCCTTTTTATGAGAACATGCAGCCTAATGCTAGCTTTCCATCGGATCGATTTCCCATGGATCCAGCGCCTCAGCGAGCGCTTTCCTTCCAGTCATACCATTCTCATAATAGCAATGACAAGTGCTCATTGGAGACTACGTTGACCAGATCTTCATCCGATATATCAGGCCGCAACAACAGGCCTAATGCAATGAAAGGCTCTCCCATTTTGAAGCTTCCCGTTTTTCTCGGATCCTCGCTATCAGACACAACAATAAGCTTACTTCGACGCTACATACCATCATGCAGATCATCAATAGCACCTTCTTCCATTCCTCGATGGTTGACTTCACTGGTCTCGTCAGAGAACAGCAGTGTCGTGCCATCTCTCTATGGTATCATACTTGTGGATTCTAATACCCGTCACTCGTCTAAGGTCGCGGCCGAGCTAAGACAGGTCGGCAGAGCTCTCACCTCGTTACAACAACAGAACAAGTTACCAAATACTGGTAAAATTATATTCATGCATTGGAAGGTTGTTGGGCAAGAGTTCAATGCAGCGAAGGCTGGTGAAAGTTTGTTTGATCGATGGCAGAGATTCGGCAAAGATGTTATAGATGTATGTATTAAATGGGGTCATGAGGAAAGCCCTGAATGCGAGAATCGACAGGATCAAAGGTTGCCTAATAGCTCCCTTGGTTCACAAAGTGAGAAATTACCCAAAAACATATGCTGCCGCCGTGATTGGACGGAGATTCTGCCGTTGCTACAGCCAAATACTCTACGGAAGAGTACTTAGCTACTGCCCATATCCTACCATAATCGGGTCGTGGAATGACTTCAGTCCGAGTGTTGTTGATAATTAATTACATGTATATATATATTACAATA